AGCCGTTTCGCCACATCACTAACCCCAGCACTGTTCGGGATGCAGGCACGACTGTTCCAGCACGAGTACGACCATCTTGATGGAGTTGCCAGGGACTCAGTTCAGCGGGTTTCGGCCGAATGTGGCTATGGGATTACAGGTTGTTGAGGTGCGCTGCGATCCCAAGACACGGACTGGTCTTGCTTTGTTTTTCTCCGCCTGCGAAGACAAAGGTGTTCACCGATCGCTTCGGAGGAGCTGCGCGTGAGAAGGCGTGGCCGTAGTGGGTAGTACGTAGTGTTGGTTGCATACCCGCCTCGACATGTGGTTATTCATAGACACACATGCGCACATTTCCATCCGCCCAGACATACATACCATACCGACCATACCATTCCATACCATGGCAGACCAGACCATACCTTACATGCGAGGTATGTATTACTGCCACATACGTGCTTCTACGTGACCGTTGCTGTGCGCTCTTCGGGCCAGCACGCTGCCAACGGCTGAGTCGGGCTGAGGCGTCTCCTTTGAAGCCTTTGCGTCGCTGTGGCCAGATAGGTCGCTCACCGCGACGAGTCCGATACTGCGAGTACCAACGGTGTGAAGTCCTTGTGTCGAGAAAGACCAGAAAGCCTTCGCCGCAACACCTTGCAGCCCTGCGGCCAGGAGACTGAAATCCCAGCCGAGAGCGCGTATGTTCAGACAGACTAAACCCTCACCTTCCGATCAAGGTCCAAGCCACATGCACCTGATAAGTTCCACGTGCATCAAAACCATCCTAACCCTGGCCCCCTACATTAGACCTCATATTATGTTTCGAATTGAAGCCATGAATATGGCCTACAACTTGAGGGTGCAGAAAACATGACCTTGTCAATTCATATACAAGTTTGTACGAATACTTGCGGTAGGATCTGATATGACATAATTTAATACAGTACATGATGATTGATAAAATACATACAGCATTGACACAGTTCACAGATTGTACAATGATTGGTGTCTAGATAGGTGATGATAGCTGGGAAGGATAGTTGCATGACTGTGTTCTTTTGCAGGCAGGATGTAAGAGACACATTTACTGCACCTGGCGGGAAGGTCGAGGGTGACCTGGACTTCTTTGTCAAGGCTTGGGCTGATTCCACGGTCCTTTCTTCCGGGGGGAGCTTGGGGGTTTCAGGCAGCTGGGGTTCGGGCAAGGTCTGGGCTAGGGTCTTATAAAGGGAGCATTGGCTGGACAGCTTTGGTTGGATGGTCGCTACGAGTCGAGCCGTTTAGACGTTTTGAGTGTAATTGGGTTTTATCCACGTCTATGTAGGATGTTTACTTGACTAGCACTTAGAGCTGCACCTGAGTCCATCCATCGGGCAAGTCTGGCTGCACGAATCACGTTAACACCTTGCTGTGCAAGCAGAAACCGGAGAAAGGAGCCGTCGAGCTAGAGCAAGCATGGGCTCAAGAGACCGAAAAAGGAGCACAGGAAGAAGGACGTACACAGCTGGCATGTACCGAAAACCCTAAACTCGTAAGCCCGCACCAACTGTCGACCGCCAGAGGACTTCTCTACCAGCAACCCCGAGCTGGAACCTGCCTTATGATTGGCCATATGAGGTTTCACGCGGTCGTTTGAGGCTTTAGGGGCCAGGGCTTTCGGGCTGGGGCTGTAGAGGTTATAGGCTTTCGGGCTTCGGTTTAGGGTTTAGGGTTTAGGGTTAGGCGGCAGCACGGGTTGAGGAGTTCAGGGTTCAGTTTTGATGTAGGCAAAGGGATTTGCTTCGAGCTCTGCTGGCTTTGGCTGGGAGTGTGGCTGTCAAAGGAAGCGAACGACAATGTGTACAATCAGACGCATTGAATAAAGCTAGTTAGAATGCCGGCTCATGCGGGTTCTGCAGCAGATATAGCCAGGGATATCTTTATTATGTAGACCTTGTATGAACACCAGATAGTTAACAATTCTTATAGGGGCAGCAAAAGCGTTCTGGCCCCTATGTTAAATGACTTAATCTCACTTTGCTCGACGTTTGCCGCGGGCCCAAACCGAGGGGGACCTCGACTCAATTTTCGCGACATGGACGGCCGGAAGAAAAGAGGTGCTTCTCGCACAGTGTGAGACTGTCAGAAGTTACTTCAGGGACCCTTATATAGACTCTGGGTGATTAATAATTACTCGATAATCATAATAATCGTACCATGCGTTGCCTGGGGCTGCTAGACCCTCTGGATGCAACGGAAGAGAGAGAGAGAGAGAGAGAGAGAGAGAGAGAATCATACAAACATCAACAGTAGTGATAACAACTAGCAGCTAACTAGCAGTAGTAAGACGAGGATGCTCATTCCAACATCTGTCGAAAAGGTTTCCCAACCTGCGAAGCTCTCATACCCTGTCTGAGAATTCTACCTTCTGGTTTAAGTCATTGTGTTCCTGAGCTCGTGGACAGCTCTGGTTTGCGTGTATCCAACTGGGACCGTTTCAGCTTGATAGGTGAGTCTGCTGGGTCATGCTTAGGCTGCACCATGACCTTTCTAGCATGCTGGCGGCTTAGATGTGCCTTAGATGCTCCACATGGGCGTGGGAGCTCCTTGTCTCTGTTCGTTTGAGAATGTTGACTTCTTACTCAACTTCTACAACCACTGTTCCTGATCCTGCATGCAGAGATTACGAACACATCTGATTCTCTGAGCTATAGATAGGATTTACGGCTTACGATTGGGTTTTGAGTTACTGGTAGTTGTAGCTCCACGTGGCGTGGAAAGACCGGGTTGGAGATAGTCCGGGTGTCCGAAAACTTGAGCTGAATCATTCTGAACCCATGATGTTCGCTGCCTTCTCAATTCTCGGCTTCAATGCGCAACAACCCACAGTTACTCTTAGTTTGCTGTGCAGGGGACCTATTCGGTTACAGGCACGGTTCGGACAAGTAAGCCCCGAGCCCCTCAAACCCCCAAAACCCGAAAGCCTTAAACCCCAGAACCCTAAAGTCCGAAGCCCTGATCCCATGAGCCCTAACAACCTCCTCATCCTGTCCTCTGGAAGTGGCGAAACCGCCGCATCTCCCGGGCCTCCATGGTCTTCCGTCCAGCTCTCGGCGGCCATGGAGGACCCAAAGCTAAAGTGTAAGGGCTCTTAGTCTTTAGAGATTTTGGTTTTTTTGAAGGATTTGGGTTTGAGTTTTAGAGCTTGGGATTCTGCTGGCTGCTTGGAAGTAAGAGCAGCTGCTTCTGGTTTCTTTCTTGTCGGGATATGTGAGTCCTCCGTCTTGCGGCGGAGTTTACGCGTGCTCGGTGGCACGGCTGTGGCAGTCAGATCGCGTTTTGGTTAGGCGCCGGTAACTGCAGCTGCGGCGCGGCCGACGCCTGGCCGGAGGGAGGCAGTGACGGAGGCAGCGTACAACTGAATCATTGCGATCAAGACTTTTTACTTGCAGCCCTGTCGGTCTGTCTACCGGGAGGTGAGGCCAACATTACTGTAGCTGGGGCCCTTACATGGGGTGAGCCGCTGAGTGCTACTCCGTACCTACTTAGCCGGTGACGGGTGCAGCTTGCCCTGTTCGGGCCAGAAAAGAGTGTAATCAATCTGGACGGGATCCTTCTCATGATCTTCAAGTCTTCGACGGCCTTAGCTTGTCGTTTAAACCTGACTTCGTTTGCCGACAACTTGCATGGGAAGAAATTTCCCCGTCCCATGCAAAGATATTTCCCTCTCACCGAAAGGTGTAAGACAGCTAGAGCAGCTAGACTCGGTCCATCATATCTTCGACGTACTGCGTGTCTCCAAAACCTTATTTCCCACTATCATCTCCACACCACCGTAGCACAACATCATTCCACCGAGTACCTCCACCAACACGACCGTCGGCATCTTCGTCACCATCAAAAGCAGCATGCGCATTGTTGTTTGTGTGTTCGCACGTCGTGGTCGCTGCCATGGTCTGCAGCATCGCCATCAAGAGCAGCGACGAAGCATTGTCATCCCAACCTTCGCACGGCGACCTTCGTCACTACCGTGATCAATGTCACAACTTATCCACATGAAACACAGTCATCATCGTGATCATCATCATGATCTTCGTGCCTGCTGTGGCTGGCGATGTGAGAGCCCAAGAATCATCACAACCACCACCACCATCATCATCTTCGTCTTCTTCATCATCACCATCAGCGCCGTCGTCTTCTTCGTTTTTACTCAAATTCATATTCATCTTGTTATTCATACTCATCTTCATTTTCCATTGACATCATCATCAGCATCCACATCGGCATCCTTGCATAACTATGCCCACAAAAGTTGACCATAGCTGGTCACTGCAGCCGGCTCTGGCAACACCAACGACAGCAACGGCGAGAATAATTAATGCAAAATTTGATTGGTTCCACCCGCGCCTGATTATGTCAGTAATTCAGTACTTTCTCGTAGCGTGGTGATACTGTACGACTCCATTATTACTATTGTTATGATGTTTGCCCTTATTGTTGCAATTCGTATTTTGCTACTACTTACGACTTGTAAATCCTGAACCCGGAACAGACGTGCGATGCCCTGAGAGGTGAAGGAGCTTACGTCATTGCTCCGCCGCGCTGCCGTGCCAGAATGGCAACGAGAACCGAACCCACTGCCACATCCCAGTTCTGGAAATACCGGGTTAAGTTAAACAGGTTTCGTGGATTTGTGGTTTAAACCTGTGCAGCTTAACACAATTCGGCGGCACAATCCTGCTAAGCTGAAGCGGCTAGACCTGCTTTGCTTGCGTCCTTGTCTGCTTGATGCACAGGCCTTGCCTGGCATGCCCGCGAGAATTAACTGAAACCAGAAGGTTGGAGTTTGTTAGATGAGTTTGGAGTGCTGTTGCGGAGATCCGCTGGGCTCGTTTGGGCGTGCCGTTAGAGCACCTATCTTCTATACCCGAATGCCGTTATCCTAAGCCCCAAACCTCCACAACCCGAAATACTTCACGCCCAAACCACAAGTCCAGATTCGACGAAGTACAAACAGGGTAGTACCTGCTCGTGACGAGTTCATGAACCATGAAGGCCATCACCAAGATCAGCCTGACTTAGCAAAACTACATTTCTCCAAAAGCTATAGGGTTTCAGCCAAGGTGAGCAATGGTGGGCGAGTCGAAACGCTGCTTCGAAAGGCCAGGGCTGGCCGGACTTCTTTGAACACGATCCACTACAACGACCCTTGGCCTCGCCACGAGGGGGCTTGCCGGGCTTTAAGGCTTGCCGGGTATGCTGTTGAGGTTGGTTGTCATGTGTTTTCATCAGCCCGCACGTCGCCGCATAAGCAAGGGTCGAATTACTGATGGCGAAGACAAGAAGCCGTTAGCGCACGTGGTTCTATGCTGGTCATTTGCGATGTTGTTAAGCATCTTTGTTCCCATTTTGAGCCCAGCATGGTATCTTGACGTGTTCTTGTCATGCCAAGTCTTGCTGTTGTGCACTTTTACACGAACACGACTAGTCCAGTCGAAGCATCGGGTCTTCTTGCTGGCAGTCTTCATGCTAGTGTTGCTGCGGCATGTGATTGACACGCCTCGTACGATTCCTCTGAGGCTTGTTGTTGGTTTCTTTCTTTTGTTAAAAAAACCATGGGTATAGTCTTTGACTCGCGGGTCATAGGCTCGGCTCTACTCAGTAGGGTTATTCTTTTGTTCGTCCTGCTTGAGATCTGCCTTCGGGCCAAAGCTTTCCTTGGGTGGGTTGCTTTCCTCTTCGATGCTGAGGCCGCCATCAGCAGCTGCAAGCTTACAGGCGACTGGAAAGCTGCGACGAACTGGCTCCGCACCATGGCGCAGGTCTCCAGCTGATCAGAAGATAGGCGTGTGAACGCTGTGTCTCTGACATCTTCGGCTTCCTGCTAACGACTCGGCACAGCCCCCAGACTCTTGCAAGACCGTGTAATTGAGATTAACAAGTTGATAACCAGTATGTTCCAACCCCCGCCCTTTCGGCACGAAGGGGGGCTCTTATCAGGAGATGTTGGAGATCGATGGCTGCAGCCTCCATGCGGCCATTAGCGCCTGCCGAGGCAGAGGTCAAGTGCTCAGAGCTCGATCCGACTGCATGTCAGTAGTCAGCTATAGGGGCTACTGTAGGGAGTTCAGTCAGACGAGTGGATGCGCTGTACAAGCTTTTTTTCGCTTGATTCCGACTTCCATGTGCTTCAAAAGCACCACTACGATGGCTCTGTCCTGAAAACTTTGATTACAACATCAAAACGCAAGCTAGTTTTTCTTCTTAGTGCTGCGGGTTAATGTGGTGGCCGCACATGTGACGCTGATCGTTCTCGCGATGTAGATGTGACGAGAGGTTCTGGTTCTAGTTAGCTTTGTTTGCCTCTTCCATGTGTGTCGGTCGTATTGTGAACCAGTGTCCTGGGTTTCTCGCTTATGCAGCGGCTGTGCGCACGGCCTAAGTTCTCCGAGCCGCCGCCAACCGAGCAGTCGTCAATCCAATCCTACAGCCCTGAATCTCGAACTATGCGGCTGAGGCAATCAGAAGGTACCAAAAATAGAAGCTGCCTGAACCCTCGAAAACGTCTGAGAGAGAACTGTTTACTTAAGGCCTGAAGCCCAGAACCTTCTTCGGCTCTAACCATCGAAGGCCCTTCCTCAAACCACCACCGCCTGCTTTATTGAAAGGTGTTGCTGGAAGCCCTAATATAGAACCTCCCAGGCACCTATAGAAAACCAGGCTATGCTAGACTAGGTGGTGCAGTGTATACTATACATGGTACATATACACATACACACACCAGCTGTTAAGATGATGCACCCAACCACACATACATACATGACATACATGCAACTACACATATACGTGTAACTATGAAAACATATACAGATACATAGACATGTGCTTATACACATGGGCATACACATACATACATACATATTTCTATATCCATACACACGCATATATATATATATATATAATACACACACATATATATATATATATATATATATATATGTAGGTAGGGATGTATGTATGTACGTACGTGTGTATGCTTGCATGCCGTGTATGAAAGGATCGATGTGCGCGGCATGTGTATATACATACGACACATTTATGTTTGTAGATCTGGGGTAAAAAAACCCAAGGGAACTGGGCCTTGGCTGTGCAGCTTCTCTGTTCGATGGAGCAAAGCCAGGCGCTGAGGGTCCCGTCAGAGGGAGGTAACGATGGCGGCACGGCAGGGTACATTCATAGTTTTGTAGTATATGTGTGTATGTATGTGTACATGCACATACAGATAAAGCACAAAATGTATCTTTACATGAATACATTCATGTATGCATGCATGCGTGTTCATATGGTCAAGTCCTCGTAGATCAGCGAAAACCGTCTCATAGCCACCTGCACAGCCACAAACCACAACCCTGGACCGTGAAGCTTGCCTCACTGCAGCTGGAAAAGGGCACTCTATAAACCTTCAAGTTTAGGTCCAGGCCATAGCTTCGGAGAGATTCGAGAAGCTTAGAACTCATGCAGTTTCGGTTTTGGCTTCATAGCATTCAGGGTTTCAAAGTTTAGTGTCGACCTCAGGGTTTCGAGTTTCGCTCGCCTGACATGGTAGACATGTATGATTCGTAGGTCTTATGTAAATGCGTATATGCATATAAACGCGCAGACACGCATGAACATATACGTATGTACATACATATCACATATATATATATATACATACATACATACATATGTGTACCTACACGGGTTTGTTGTCGGCTTACGGTGCCTTAAAGCCTCACACGCACGCCTACCAGTACTCTTTTCCTGCGGTTGGGATGAGCCTCGTCGCTGCTCGTTTAGGTTCAGCAGGAGTAAGTCGTCACAACGGAACTCAGCAGATTGAACTTTAGCATCCTAGTTGACCACAACGACCTGAACAAAGTACCCCCCCACCCCAATAAACATAAAAAAACGCCACAACATTCCAACGTTCTGTTGCAGAAGGTGCGGCCAGTGGCTGCGCGATTCGGTGCGACACTGGCGGTTTGCCAAGGTGCAGCAGGGGATCTCCGGCCTCATTGCAATGAGTGTTTTGGGCTAACGTCATCCTAGCACAATCAGACGGCTTTCGTTTTCTGGACCAGGTAGCTCATGCAGCAACTATAAGTTTGCAACAGCAGCAACCTGGCAATCGAGATCCCAGTAGTGAGGACTCATCTTCTGTTGAAAACGGTCCATGTGAGTCTATGGTCAATGCGTTGCCCCCTGAACTGTAAACCCTATAAACCCTCAACCCTAAGCCCGAAACGTATGTTAGTCTGGATGCCGCGAGGCGAAAAGACGTGAGGGCTCAAAAAAACGTACGTTTGTGCGCTTGCCAGGCCATGTGAGTTGGCCCCTGGCGGTGTCAATCTGGACTGCGGGATGCACTCGAGCTTCCGACATGCCTACAGAGGCAGACCTGTCCTTCCTGCAAAATGGTTTGAGATATAAGGTTTCACTTTATCAGGATTGCAGTCGGATGATTTCGACCCTTCTAAGTCGAATGCCTTGTTGTAGTATGGCTGTGACGATCATCCTGTGATTCTTTTTGTCTCCAGGCTCCGAGATGTCCAACCGTTCGTGTGAGCGGCTTCTGTTTGGAGCAAACCAGGATGCACTCCGCCACAACATCTCGTACATCAGCTCCAAACCATTGCACACCTCGGATGCTTGAAGGCTTAGGCTCACGCGATGCCCTGCAGTGTCGACCCCGGCGCAAAGTGCAAATGACCTACCCGTCGTGCGAGGGTGTACTGTACTCCATAGCTATCACCGTGAAAATTTGAGAGAGTGCCCTCATGATCGCCTTCTGCGTATGTGGAGTAATGTGTAGCTTCACCGGATACAGAACCACGAGAAGCCCGCAGACATCCGCAGGCGACCAGCTGTGCAGCAACAAGGCCGTCAAATTAAAGAGATGATGGTACGGAATTTGCAGCGAAGGGCCGCGAAACTTACGGTGACTCCCGGAAGTATAGAAGAGCATATGCTGGTACAGCACTTGCTACTACAACGGCAGGCTGTGATGGCCGGAAAGCCCTACAACTAGACTCTAGGCCTGTATGAAGCACAGCCGCCACAGCAAGAAGGGTCCTGAGTTCACACGGTTGCGTTCGCTAAGTCGGCGTTGATGGCTTTCGGAGCCTTGCATCTAAGAAACGGCTTTCCAAACCATGGGCATGGATCTTGGACACCGGTCAGAAAGGCACCGACATATTCTCCCTGTATGGGCTCTTCACACCAGCACTCGGTCCAGTGATGAGGGTTTTGGATTCATAGGGGGCCGGTAGGGACCTACAGGGTTGGATAAAGCTTCGCTTAGGCCTTGGATTCTTTGAGGCGAGGATTAGAGAACCAGGTTCCTTCGTGAAGCGAGACTGGACATGTTGAGAGAATCGTGTGCCACCTAAACACCATCAACCGCCATCACCCCGGAAGCAAATGTGCAAGCCTTCAGCAAAAATCCCGAGGCAGGTCTCTTCAGCTGGGGTGTCGTTCTTGCCAGGATCCTGTTTAGGGCGTCGACTTTCTTGGAGACCCCAGTCGCTAAGCCCAGGCATTGCAAACCTGTCAGCAGACGGCCTCCTGGCAGACTGCCTTGGCTCTCTTCCGCCAGATGCCCTGGCAGAGGCCTCGTGCCTTCTATGTGGCTTCAGCATAAGTATGCTGTAAGGCTGAGGCTACAAACCCTTGGTAAAAATGCCTGGCCCGTGCTCTGGCCAATAGATGGTCAACTCCAAGCCTGAGCCTTAGACCCCAAAAACGCTCAACCCAGGAGTTCGTACCTGCAAAGCCCAGAATCCCTATAGCTGAGGAGCAACCGCTACTAAAGCCACTTGTATATTCCCTGCCAACGAAAGCAGGCTGCAAGCGGACCTCTTCAGCCTCAGCAGTGTTGCAGGCCTGGGTGTGAAGCGAAGGGATTGTGTGTCATTTTCTCAAAGGTGATAATGAATGAAGCCTCCAGTTTTGACAGCATAATATCAAGGCCTGCAACGAATATAAAGGGGAGTGCTACACTCCATGATCAACAGTTTGATGCGAGATGCTGAGGCTAAGGCAGTCAAAAACTCCGACTAGGCATTTGCGAACGGGCTGCTGCGTGGACTGCCAGCTTGGACCTTCTGTGCCCATCCAGACTCTCGGTCAGGTTTTATCCTGATCATCGTCTTATCAGTCATGAAGCCCTAAAACCATCCTGTGTTCAGGCTGGATTGTTGCGTTGAGGGGCTGGCATGATGCGATAAGCTTGCGGATGAGGCTCCGCACGGCCGCGTGCGAGAGTGAGAGACGAAAAAACATCCTACAACGTAAGACTACCGGAACCCTCAACTTTTGCCCTCGTTGAGCTTGTTGCTGCAGGAGCCCTGGATGACCTGGCGGTAAGCACAGCTGCCCAGGCGCTGGGGCTGGAAGGAGGCCGCGCCCAATTCGGTGAGAGGGTTTCGAGTTCAGGGCTGCGGCTAATGTCATTCTGCCCTGTATCCCACGGGTTACAAAGCAGATGTGGGCTGACTATGACATCGCATGTTCGTGGTCTCAGTTTCCGGGTGAATGGCTAGGTAAGTACTCTCGATTTGCAGGCCTTGACTGAGCGAGTCATGTTCACGAGTCATGTTCTTTTCCCGCTGTGCTGGCGCCTGGGCAGAGTCCTCGGTTCTGTGCTCAGTGGGGTGCTGGCATTCATCAAGTCCGGATGTAAAAAAAAGGGCTGCGGCTACAAGGTCTGCCGGGGTGTAGGGTTTGGGTCTTAGGGTTTCGGTTGAGGGCTTGCAGGCCTCAAGGTTTGAAGTATTTTGAAGGAGTTCTTGAGGGTTTACCGATGCACGGACCAATGGAAGGTTCACTGTATGTTTTCGTACCGGTGTGCCTTCCCAAGATATACTCACCACTGTTTTACCGAAGTAACAGCCGGTGAACCCTATAGGGCTTGGCCGGCCTTGGGTGGATGAGGTTGAGCATGATATATCGACATTCATCGATTGCCTTAGATAGCAGAGTTTCGCCAAGCCACCGGCCGGCAGCAGCACCCAGCCGACCACGAAACAAACGGGAGGTATTACGCTTACGCCCACAAGCCACAGCACCGGACCAAATCCCTTTGCAGGTCCTGCATAAATATACATGGCGACAGAGCAGGCACCACTCGCGCTACTCGCTGTGCGGTTCCACTCGTGCCGCTCGCGCCACCCCATTCCGAGTCCAACACATTCAGGAGCGTGGAACAACTGCACGGGTCGCACTCCGCACACCACTCCCATGCCAGGCCCGTCCGGTGCGAACCCCCACGCTCGCTCGTTCCACTCGTACCAGACGACACAGGCGACAGGAATCGAGTGGAACAGGCAATGCATAGGGCGAGTGCAGGGAGGGAACAATGAGTCGAACGGTCCGAGCGAGTGGAACAAACGGATTAATCAGTGCCCCAACGCCGACACTCTCTAATTTCAAACGTTACACTACGACTACGATATACCTCCTAGTTCTTCCTACTAGTATCTTCGTGGACGAAGACGGCTAGGTCATTGGCAGCAGGCCGTGTCGCTCCTGGTGGGCCGGTCAGAGGGCGGCGGTTATTTGAGCAGCTTGGCCTCTCAGACTCCCGATCCAGCAGTTTGCTATTTACGGCGTTTCAAGGTGAAGCGCGCTTGGAAGGTCGTAGAATCGTAGAAGCAGGTTGTGAGGTAGAGAGTTGGGGAGAGCGAACTCTACCCTAAGTGGCCCTAGTGCTGCTAGGGGTAGCAAGCCGCACCAGTCCTCCGAACGGTATCAGCAGGCTGCCCAGATTTGTGCTCAAACTCTCGGAAGTTTCGGTGCACTGGCTCCAGGGCGAGCTTTGCTGCGCAGCTGTGATGCTGCACCCAGGCTGCGTACCCAGCATGGACCCGCGAATAGTTCCAACTTCCAAGGTGAAGGTTTGGTTTGGTTTGGTGTACCCAGAAAAATCCTTCATTATGAAGACACAGTAAATACTCACTGTGTTCAAGTTAGGAGGAGGTTTGCTGCCTGAGTTGTTGACACATGGCTCATGACTCATGAGCCTTTGAATGCTTCACTTACAGCTGTTTGGTGTTTCAAACTCGACAATCCAGGTAATCAAACTTAGACTCAGACCCCTCCAAAAAGTTGTTCTTCAGTTAACAGACACACTGCCACATGTTTGCCAAAGGCTCGTGCCTGGCAGACAGCGCTCCAAATTGTGCAGAAGGCCGTCAAGACTGCCGAACCTAAATCCTTACTAGTCGTATGGATCCTCGCGTGGCTTGTCCGAGTTGGGAGAGCGTAAATCCTTTTTAGTCCCGACTATTAGTCCCGAAAGCCGACATCCAATCGAAAGGTTGCACAAAGCACTATTGTCGCTCTTGGCTTCAGGTAGTATACTTATTGTGATCTTTTGTCGACATTAGGTCTTGATTGGTGTTATTTTATGACCAGTGTCATTAGTTAGTTGCGGCTCGGGTTCAGGACATGATGACCAACCAATGAGACTCCGTTGTCGTCCCCGGCATTGTAGTGTAGTTTGGGAGGGGCGGTTTTGTCGTTCTTGACCTTTGAAGTTTGGTTCGTAGCATTCCGTGCCCAAGCAGGCATTCCGAAATTTGCCGAAGGTGTGAGTGTTGGTTAAACCCTCTGTCTTAAAACAGTAAGTAACCTTTATCATGTTCCTTATGCATACCCATGCTGAAGTCCTAACCTGTATCGTGACCCTTAGACGAACCTTTATCTTCCTTGTAGGAGCCCTCATACAAATTCTCTGCGCAGACTGACGAGACGGCTCTGGGCTCGGCCCCCTGGTTGGCAGCGCAGCGGCTGATGGAAGCTTGCCTGGACTGTAAATCCAGCCTATGCGTGTAATTTAGAAGCCTGAATACGTAGTAAGTAGCGTTATTCCTGAGGGCGGCTTCCTTCTAAGTAAGTAATCCTCGAAACCCTGTTCCAATCTCTTGTCACGATCGAAAAAAACATCATGTCAGCATCTACCACGGTCGTCGCCAGCTTCCCGGGATTAATTTCGTCCCGCTTGTAGCATACAGGTTGAAGGGCTGGGTGTGTGAAAGGGCGAGAGGGTTTATGGTTCTGTTTAGGGTCTCGGCGTTATTGCTGGAAAGATAGCTCCGGCTTGGCACGAACCAATGTTGGCTAAGTCTTGTTATACTGTTGTGTTGGTTTCTGCCCATATTTTCGACATGTCATACTGGTACAGGGTACTGGCCATTCGAGCCTGTTCTGGGGCCACTTGCTGATAGCCGAGCCAATCCACACAAACAGGAATGTGCAGAAACCTATGCGCTCAAGCAACCGAACGTGACACGCAGTAGTCGTTTATTTGGTTGGGCCTGAGCAGTTCCAATGTCTTTGATCAAGCATAGAGCTACACCATCCGCATGACATGTCTACGAGTCTACGACCATTATGAGTGAGTGTGTGTGTGCGCAGACAGATGACAGAGATGTGCACATGCGTGTATACATAAACAGATAAGTGCATACATATGTATATGTATGCATGCATGCATGGCTGCATGTATGTATGTATGTATGT